ATGCGTCTAGAACAGACATGATACTCGTCATTAATGATCCATACATGCAGCAAATCATCGACGGCACCAAGACATACGAGTACAGGAAATACGATATGGTCGGCATCAAGAGAATCTGGTTCTACCGCACGGCACCTCACTCTGCCATTACACACGTCTGTGAAGTTGACGCGGCAGTGACTCGGGGTCCAGGTATCGCACCTCTTCCTGAGGATGGACTTGGAAACAAGGAGTTTAATGAATGGCACCCGGACTGGGACCTCTATGATTTCGCGTATCGCATCAAGTCTGTGTATGGTGTTAATGCGCCCGACGGCATTCCCTGGGCGCAGATGCGCGACTTGCACGGGATGAAGATGCCGCCGCGGGGTCGTGTGAGTTTACCGCAGTCGATAGGCGAGGAGTTTAAGTGGAATGAGCAAAGGAAGATTCGATGAAAGAGATGAGATATACCTTTGTCGAGGCAAGGTAGTCGTTGAATATGTCAATGATCGGTCTCTTGTGAGCAAGTAGGCTTGCTTGGTTGTCACTGAGGCCTTCAGGTACCGCTTCCACCAACCCCGTCCACAAAGATGGAATTTCGATGGAGGTGTCGAGCATGCCGTTTTCTGAATACTCCCATATTTGCCGCGAAAAGCTTCCGAAATTGGAGGCACCTCGCAAATAGCAGCTCCATAGGAAACTTCGGCCCAAAAGTCTGCCGTCATCTTAAAAGCGTTCCATCCTCAATGCCTCCCGTTTCGAGAAACGGAATCGCTGACATAATCCCATACCGTTCAAATTCTTGGCTACTATCCAGGGCAGCCCTTTGCACATCGACCTGAGTCCTTCAGCACGATCGTCATTTCCGGTCTCGAAGAGGCTTCCTCTGTCCCGCTACTAGTTAGACCCTCGTCGTACAGTTTACCACCTGCACCTAACTCTTGTCCTGAAGCCATCGTGCGCAACAGTCATACCCATCAAGTCCTCCAGCTGCCTCCCAACACACACCGCCTACTTAGTGAGCTAGCCCCGCCGTGATTCTTTCGGCAAAGGAGGCTCTTTCCGTACCCAAGGCTCGGTCGCGACCGGTGAGATCCTCCCGAATTGCTGCCTGGTCCCAAGCGGAGACCCAACTTCCGCTCAGTGGCAGATCAAGACGCATGCTCCGCGCTCGCCCCCACGTCGAACGACAGGCAGGCGGATACTGAATATGGAAATGGGAGGATTCATCTCGCTCGAATACGAGGCAACATGTCATATTTGCGCTGAGCGGAACCCTGACTGGCACAGGCGACGCGCTGTTTCCCCATCGAGAAAGGAGCATAATCGGTAGGCTGCCGCACGAGGACGCCAAGTATGAGACGAACGCCACCAACTGGCCTTACTCTTCTACTGTTCGTGGGTAAGGCCCCTCGCGGAGCTCCTGTCAAGGATTCCATCACCTCCCCTTAGGTGTTGGCTGCCATCGTGTATGGGGATGACAAGGACCAACGGTCGGGGGCTTCCAGGCCTCCAGTAGTTTGAGGTATGCTGTTCCGATATGGAGGGGGCTGCATGATGTCTCGTTGGCCCACTGGCTCGAGAATCCGCGCGCTCTCCAATCAGACCTAAGAACCACCCCTGTGTTATATATCCGGGTAGGGTATTCGCGTCGGCAAGTGGCAAGGCAGACAAGGAGGGCATCTTCGGACATCCATCTGCATTGATGATGGTGTTGACAAGGCAGAATGACATGCTGGCCCAGGTAATAAGGTGTAATTAGGTTCACCACCAAGGGACCAACTCGGGTGGGGTTTCTGCCTTGGGGGACGCTATGTGCCTCAAGGTGTTCGGATCATGCACGTCTCTACGGCGTGAACTCCATCATGGTGAGCAAGGGGAAACTTGCTCGATTAATACCTTCGGGCTCTGTCTTGGCGGGTTCCAGATCGACTGACTTCGGATATAAAGCACGTAAGATCGCTTCTGGCCGTTCGCATGGAATCGTCAGATGCCTCGCGTGGCCATGGCTGTCCAACATCCTGTCAGACTCCACGGATTCGGAGGCGGCAAAGGTAGTTCAGCGGCTGCGCATTGGCCAACCAAAGGCAGCAGGTAAAGACAGCCACCTCGCAATAATACCAAATGCCTCGTCGCTATGGTCCGGAAGCCGCACTTCTTGTTCCGCTGTCTCACTAAAGCCCGCTTTAAGTGCGGCCTCGAAGAATGAGGAGGCCGCGCAGAGTGTTTCGGATTCAAGGTAAAACTTGGTATCCCCCATTAGAACAGTGACTTCGCTGTTGTTGGATTTGGCCATTTCGTCGTGCTGGGTTCCTACTAGCGGCTAGGGCAGCGTACGCAACGTCTCGAGACGCGTGGCGGTTCTATGGATGGCTTATAAGGCATCTGGGCTCCGTCGCCTAGGGCGATGAAGGCGGCTTCTGTTGAAGGGCAGGTCGATGGCGGAGAGTGTCGATGACAGCAGACGAACCAGTTCGGCCCCGCAGGCTTTGGCCCAATGCCTTGAGGAACGGAGAGACGAAAGGCCTCTTCTGCTGCTGAAGCCTGTTCCCGCCATCTGACTAATATTTTCTGTAACGCAATGCCATGGCAAGTTGTTATAATGCCTAGCCAGAACGATGCTAGTCAGGCCCGACTGATGCCCAAGGTTTGTAGATACCATATCTCATTCCAACCTCTAAGATGCAATAGGAGCCAGACTGTCGTGCGCAATGCCATGGCATGTTGTTATTAATGTCTAGCTAGCACGATGCTAGTGAGGCCCGAGTGATGCCCAATGGTTGTCGATACCATGTCTCAATCCAACCACTAAGATATTTATTAGCAACTACAGCCTGAGATGCTTAGAGCCAGACACGGGGCTTTTTAAGCGGGCAATGCCGACAGTGGGAGGCGGACACATTTTCAGCTTCACCGTCAAGACCCCTTGAGCCCAGATCAAACCCATATCCCTTCCCTTCTAAAAGTACGTGTTGGTAAGCTAATTGCCCCGATTGTCTGTATTACGATACCAATCAACCAACAAGGCCTTCACCATGACTCGGACTGCGAAGGCGCAAGAGCAACGGATCGTGGTTCCAAGTCGCCCACATTTCCGAGTTTACGATCGGTCTCTCGACTTGGGCGTCATCAACGTAAACAAGCTCCTCCAGATCGCTGTATCCCAAGGCCTTAGCGTCATTCCAACTGTGGGCTCGCTGCTGGGAGGCCTCGTTAGGGCGCTCTGGCCGGACAAACGCAAGCCTAGCCTGCAATGGGACGAGATCGACAGGAACGTGCGGACGATTGTCCAGGGTCTCTTAGACGACGACAAGGTCCGCGATCTCCGGCGGAGGATCGACTCGCTCCACGACCTGATCCGGACCTACGAGCAGACGCCCAACGGGATCCGCCAAAAGGGCGAGCGACTCACGTTCATCCTCTCCTGGTTCACCGTCATCCGGCGCGACTTCACCGAGAACGGCACGCCCTGGCGGACACTCCAGTTTTTCGTCCCGATGGCCACGCTCCACCTAGGCTTCCTCCGCGAGCAGCTCCTGCACTGGGACCAGATCTACCCTAAAGAACCCGCCGATATGCACCGTCTCCGCCGGGAACTCGAGGAGGCCATCGATATCTACACCGCTGCAGCCAACATGATCCGCGAAAAGTGTCTGGAGTGGCGTATGGATGAGCGGATCGAGGTGACGAAGCCAAAAGACAAGAGCTGGCACCTTCTTGGTTCCACCCGCCACAATTTCGTTCGCGATCTCGAAGCCGGGTTCTCGCATGAGGTGGTATGGGGGGGTCCAGCGATCGGCCCGGACAAAGGGTATAGCCATGATCTGGAAGCGGAGAGGTATATTTGCGACCTGCGCGACGCGGCTGGTGCCGTCTATCGACAGCAGATTGACGACATCCTCGCACCGTCGCTGCAGTGGCCGCAGTTCAGTCAGATGGAGATCTACGCCCATATCAAGCGCAATATTATGGCCGGCACGACGGGCCCTATGGGCTGCGGCATCTCCTATGGGATGAACCACTTTAATGATCGCGAGTTCGCAGAAAAGCACGGACGTATCACTAAGGTGGTTATCAATGCCTGGGCCCGCGTCGACGGGCTCGAAATCTGGTACGGCGGCGTTAGTAGCGGACATCGCGGCGGGTACGGCGGCACGCAGAGGGTGCTGGAGGTAGGCGAGGGGGAATCAATTGTTTGCGTCTCGGGCCGGGTGGGGCAATACCTGGATTCGATCCGTTTCTTCGTGAGTCCCACGAAGAAGGTCGCCGGAGGGTCCGGTGGAGGGCAAGGGGATCCGGCTGAGGAAGATAACTTCCGTATTGGGTTCGCTGAGGATGGGCCAAGGAATGAACCAGGCACGTTCAAGTTGCAGTACGTTTATGGCTGGGCAAACAGTTCGGGATTTATTGAGGGCTTTGGAGCAGCCTTTTGGCAGACTGAGATTATGTGAACTGCGCGGAGAGCTTCTTCTCTGAATCTGGTCTAATGATGGCGCAGCAAAGCCAAGACAGCTGAACACTAGTTGGTAGAATGTACTCATTAACATCTACTCCTATATTACATGCTTTATAATGTTAAAATAGTACAAAGAGCTCTCATGGACCTCAATCTCCAAACACACGCCTCCGACGTCATGGATCTGTCCAGCTCGACGGTGATTAGCCAAATCGAGCGAGCATCATGCCGATTGCAGTCTAGCTTTACGCTTTCTGCCACCACTCTCAGCTCAGACGTAAGTTTTTAGTGTCACGAAGCACCAAGTTTCCGGAGAGGCGTGTTTGCTGGATCGTCGGTGTTTTGGCGTGGGGAGCTGCGAGATCGTGATGTACACTGCGAAGTAGCTCTGGTCGTGACTGCCATCAATTCTCCCTCGCTAGATTTCGCAGCCACCTGCGTTTATTTTCCCCGCCCCGATTTCCTTCCCCTCCATTTTCCCTCTGTTCAACATCCTTTTCTCGACCTGCGCAGTAGATCCTTTGCAATTGGATCCCAGAGAGGGGGAGATCCAACCTGAAGAATGGCTTCTCGCAACAGCCGAATGACGCTCGGCCGTCTTCTGGGCCTGAGTCGCGACGACAATCGCAGTCGCCGCGAATGGGATTTTGAGCATCGAGATCCGCGTACGTCACAGGGACACGCCGGCTACCTTTTCTATTCTCTTTTTTTCGAAGATATCTGAAGAAGCTAACAAAGACTACCCATTGGCAGTGCTCCCTCAGCACAGCACCGGCCATCTCAACCCCGTCGTCCCCCCGGTAGAAGTCACCAAAGTCGCTCTCCGCCTCCGCCACCTGATCGAGGAATGCGTGCCCTGTGAGCTCGAAGAGTCCCTCATCACCCAGGCCCACAGCCGCGTCATCACCAAGAAGGTCATCCTCGCTGCCAAGGAGGCCGGCGGCGAGCAGTACCGGTCCTGCGTCGTGTTTTGTCTGCTCGTGTGCAGTCGGTGGTTTAAGCGACAGGCCATTTTGGAATTGTGGGATGCAGACTTGCATAATGTGAGGTCTACGGCTTGTCAGGTTATTGCCAAGGCAATGTGAGTTGTCGCCGATGCGCTTCCAATTCCAATTGGAGAGGTCATCTCGTCGTTTAAAAACTTACTCTCTGATCTTTTTCTTGACAGCATCGAGAATGAAGAGGACACAAGCTATCTCCTCCACACTCTTCTCCTTCATCGCTTCTCCATCATCGTCAACGGCAAGCCCACGCCCCCCGCGAACGCTATCGAAAAGGCCGTCGACCTGCACGCACTGCGAGTCATCTGCTCCTCTGGCTACCAGAAATGCCTTCATTACTTGTGGAAGGGATGGCTCGTTCAGGACGAGGACGATCCCACCGTCTTCGTCGACTACAAAGGCCGCGATGACGAGCGCTACATCGTACATCTGGACCCGGACCGCCTACGAGCTCCCATCTACCAGAACGCGGCGCGATTGCTCTTCTCCATTCTCTACCTCGTTCTATATACCATGTCGATCAACTCAGTGAATTGGGACGGCAGCTTCGACGCGGCCGAGATCCTCTTGTACCTCTTCACCCTAGGCTTCATCTGCGACGAGCTCACCAAATTCTGGAAGGCCGGCTACCACATCCTAAGCTTCTGGACGGCCTTCAACAGCGTCCTCTACGCCGTTCTCTCCGTCTCCTTCGTCTTCCGCATCATCGGCCTCGCCCACCCGCTGGGCAGCGACACCCGCCACCAATACGACAGCCTCAGTTACAACTTCCTGGCCTTCAGCGCTCCCATGTTCTGGATCCGGCTGCTCCTGTACCTCGACAGTTTCCGGTTCTTCGGCGCCATGTTGGTGGTGCTCAAGGTGATGATGAAGGAGTCCATCATCTTCTTTGCGCTGCTCGCCGTCGTGTTCGTGGGCTTTATGCAGGCTTTCATCGGGCTCGATTTGGCGGAGGACTTGGAGACGGATGAGATTTGGTTCATTATTCAGGCGATGGTGAATTCGATAATGGGAAGCCCAGAGTTTAGTGGGTTTGAGAAGTTTGCACCGCCGTTTGGTATTCTTCTCTATTATATTTTCACATTCATTGTCATGGTAAGTTGGAACTGAAGAGGAAGGAACACATAGTGAGGGGGAGAGAGTATGCTAAACCTGATTGTCCCTAGGTCATTCTCCTCAACATCCTCATCGCCTTGTACGGTTCAGCCTACAGCGACATCTACGAAAACGCCGACGACGAATACATGGCCCTCTTCGCCCAAAAGACGATGTCATTCGTGCGCGCCCCCGACGAAAACGTCTACATCGCGCCCCTCAACCTCGTCGAGGTCGTCGTCATCGTCCTCTTCTCGTGGTGGCTCCCCAAGGACAAGTACGAGCTCGTCAACGACGTGGTCATGGCTGTCATCTACTCGCCCCTCCTCGTCGTGGCGGCATATTTCGAGACCCGGAAAGCCGCCGACGTTCACCGCAACCGGCTGCGCGGCGAGGATGACGACGACACGGTGGAGGAGTGGGAGCAGCTGGAGGATCAGGTGGATTTCGAGGCGGAGGGGTGGACGAAGCGGTGTGAGGATGTTAGGGCGAATGTGGAGGTTGATCCGGCGGTTGTTGAGGTTAGGAGGTTGATGGATGAGGTTGCCGAGTTGAAGGGGCTGGTGGAGGAGTTGAAGAGAGGGGTTGAGGGGAAGCCGAAGGATGAGAAGGGAGAGGGTGAAGGTGAAGGAGGTGAAGGAGGTGAAGGCGAGACCGCATCTTAGGGAGCGGCGAGGGTTGTGAGGTCAAGATAAAGCAGGAGGTAATTTGTCGCCGACTGAGATATGGGGAGGAATTTAGAATGGCTCTGTTCAGATTGTTTTTCTACGGGTAGCCTATCCACTGTGTATGATGGCGAGAGAAGTGTAATCCATCGTGCTAATACGAATCTACAGCTTGGCACATACAGTAGAAGGCGAAATGGCGGGGGTTGACCTGTGGCTTGGGTGGCTTTGAGACACATTTGTAGCAGGGAGATACATACATGATCAGTGCTTAACAAAGGCAGAACATGCTTTTACAGCACCGACTGCAGGTTGCTGGGGATTCCATGGGATTCCGCGGATAGGACCTTTCTTCAAGCGGGGATGCTAGCTCCGCCAACGGCATTCGCCGCCAATATATGCGAGACCATTTCGGAGTCTTAACCAGGGCGCCAGGTATCTTCGATATGTGAAATCCCCGCTCGATCTCTCGACGCTGCCCAACCGAACCCAACTTTGCCCATGCCGTGCTCAGAGTCCGGGGCCGAACCCTCTTTAGAACTCTACGACGATGGACCTCTTCGCCTTCCCGGTCGAGATTAGGCTTAAGATCTATTCACAGCTCCTCGTCCACCCTGCACCCATCAACCTCGAGAAGCGGGAATACCCCTTGCCAGCACGGCTGTGGCTAGGAGAAAGTATCGACCTGTGTCCTGGCCTTCTTCGCACCAGCAAGCAAGTTTATGATGAAGCCGTCCCCCTTCTTTACTCCCACAATTGTTTTCACTTTCCGGAGGAGGACGAAGCGACGACCGGATACGCCACAGGCACTACCCTCGCCTTCTTCCTTGGGCAGATCGGGCTCCTAGCGAGACTCCTTCGCCACGTCTGCGTTACACTTCCTAACCGATCTACTTTGTTGGGTACTCAGCTTTGTGAAGGCCATGTCAAGGACCTGGACCTCATACGAGATGCCTGTGTCGGTATAACCACGCTGAAGTTATCCCTCCCGTTCACCAGTGGCTTCCCCGTCTCCACGGCCTCGTTGGATTTGATCGACACGCGGCTTAAGGCTCTTCCGCGACTGCAAAACGTGATAGTCAATGTGAGATGGTACGGCGGAGAATCGGTGGAGGCGAGTGATGACGAAGCGGGGGATCTCGGTGGTGCCGACGACTGGAATCATCCAGAGGGTTGTCTGGCAGCAAAGCTGCGCGAACGCGGATGGACGGTCCAAACCACCAAAGTCCCTCCGCTGAAGGAGGTCGAGTTCGACAACGAAGACGACTACGATGATTACATGGATAATGTATGGAGCCAGCTAGAATGGGAGCGGGAGCAGGAGGAGGAAGCTGAATATTACTATCAGAGGCAACTAGCAGGATATGATATGGGTTACGCAGACGACGGGGGCCCTGCGTGGTAAGCAACAAGTCCACTCCTCCCAATGTAAGAGGCTGGCTAACGATGTACAGAAGAAGCTCGGGCGTCGAAGGAGGCAGAAGGAGGCAGAAGGGGGTAGTCGTTCGTGCCAAGAGGGCTAGAGGACGGAGACAAGAGGGAGGCGACTGAAAGCTTTCGAGAGTCATGTATCGGCTAGCCTCGCAAGGTCAGGTTGGGGGGCTTGGAGCGCGCCTCCGCCTCGTGATGCACCTGTCGAGCAGCTCCCCAGCATTACCACTTCGTTTCCGGCCTTCGTACCTCTCCGCCTATTACATGGCGATTACGTCGTTGGCTCCATTGTTGATATCTGTTTCTAGATCGAAATCCGGTTGCTTCGGTGTCGGCCAGTCAGTGCCGGTCTGGCTCTCGGCGTCAAGCGACGGGCGGAGGTTGCGAAGGTGTGCGGCGGGTAACTCGAAGTTAGCAGCAGCAGTGACTATGATAGTACCTGATATTCGTTTCTACAGTGGCCGCACTTCATGCTAACCCCCCTCGTACAGAGGACGAACTCAGGGAGGGCATATCGCGTCGCTGTTGCAACATGTTCCACGGGAAAATGAAAGGCGGTGAAAACGGGTTAGGTAAAGCTTCCACGGTGCTACACCCCCTCATCCGCGGTTGGCCCTGCGGTCCCTAGGCCCTGAAATAGGCCTGGCAATTCCCAAAATTAGGGCCCCGGGGCAGACCGGCCGCAACCATCTACTCCTCCGTAGAGGACAGCAAGAGAGTGACGTCGGCCGGCCGCTTTGAGGACGACGGGGCGGCACGATCGTGCTGCCGGACAATAAGCAATCCGGGTGTCGCCATCAGTCTCTGTGCTTGGATAATACGCTCTTTAATGCCTGAACCGTCCTTGTCGGGTTCCTTGTTAGTGATAGAACTTTGGAGGTACGAATGACAAGAGCGTACCAAGTACAGCCACAGGTGTCAGCGCAGGTCCCGGAAACGGATCCTGTTGAAAAAAAGAAGTCAAGCAAAAAAAATCAACGGCATCCAATTCGCCTTTATTGTATGCATTCCACCACACGACTTTTTGTATTTACGGTCATCTGTCATCTCTGCTGCCCTGGCGTGTTAGTGATACTCGTCGAAGGTGGTGGTCTCTAGGCGCGGGCTTTTCTCTCCCCCGCCACCCTAAAGAGACAATCAGCGGTGTTCACGGCATAAGTTTCACCAAGATCAAGACAAGACTCGGCGGGTGAATGCTACATTCGCCATATTTGTGGTGAAAGCCTCGAGCTTTGGTCGAGCTGCTTCCTATATACATGACGGCCATGCGTCTTGATTCTTTGTCCCCTTAATCCCATCTCCATGACACCGTTGACGATGCCCATCTCCCCTCAAAATGCTATCATATAAAAGAAAGAATGGATATTTCGAAGCGGAAAGGTTCCCTCTTTCCCATCTTCCAACCATCCCGATAAACGAAAGAAAACAAAACCACGCTTCAAACCTGCAAAGACCTTAGCAGGTAATGGGCCTAGGCCCAGGAGCCTGGTATGGCTTCCCGTTGTTATTCGCCACACCGCCGGCAGCATAAATGTTAACCAAAACCGCGGGATCATTCTGCTGGAAAGCGCCAGGGATCTTGACAGTCTGCGTCGGCGTGAAAGTCCCACTACCCGTAACCTCGATCTGGGCGCACGAAGTATAAAACTGGGCCCCCATATTCTGATGAGCCGAATGCAGCGCCAAAAGCTCAACCCTCAGGAGATAATGCCCGGGAGCAATACAGCTCGGCATAGTGAAATAGTGCCACCCCTGGCCCTTGATCATATTATCGACGCCCCAGACTCCGGACGAGGTATCGAGGTTATCCTCGGCGACCTTGAACCAATCGAGACCCTGGTGCGAAGCAGTCGCCGCGTTGTCGACCTTGGCGAGGTACGCCGACACGGGCCCGTGGTGGGAGGGCGCGATGGGGTTGTCCGGGTCTCCCGGGAACTGGGCGCCGCCGATGACGTGCTGCCACCAGGAGCCGACTTTGGAGCCGGCGGGGACTTTGATGACGGCTTCGGACTTGGAGGCTACGACGCCGCAGGTTAGGTCTTGGGATTGGACGTTTTGGACGGGGTTGTTTTGGTTGGGGGCGCGGAGGCCGACGAGGGAGCCTTGGTCTTGGCCGTCGACGGAGAGGCGCTGGGGATATTCGTCAGTGAGGGTGCTCGGTGAGGATGGATTGGCCAAGGGAGAGTTCTTTGTGGTGGTTGGAAAAGAGACGGAGGGAGAGGAAGGGAACGAACCTGGAAGATGCAGTGGGCCGAGGCAATGGCGCTGTAGGCCAGCACGGAGGCGACGGAGAGCTTCATGGTTGCCAAATCGAGGACTGCAGCCGCGATGAACAGATGAGAAGAAACGACACAGACGTGGAAGCGGTGGACGGAGAATGAACTACGAATCTCTCGAAGCCGGCTTCTTCATCGCAGCTTGTTCGTGGGAGGACTACCGAGTTTATATATATATATATATATCTACGCATCCGCATTTCTCTTCTTCCCTCCTCCCCGCTAGAGTTAAGGCCAAGACCAGGAATATTAAAGTGTTTGTCTTGGTCTCCAATATGGTCAGGAGTCCAAATAGATTGCTGATGGGGACGAGCCATTGATCTGATAGAATCTCCTTGGATGTCCTGTTTACGCGCAACCAAGGCCCTAAGGGCTCAATTTCCGCTTTTCCCGTCACAGTGAAGGCCCCTACCTCCCATTTGGCTTGCGTTCCAATTCTCTCTTCTCACAGGCCCGCCATCCCCATGACGGTGTATAGTATCCTCATATATGCCGTCTTTATGGCCCCTCCCCCCTTACACAGATATCAGGATAGAAGATTCGTGGACCCCACGGAACCCTGGTCTTGGGGGGTCGGGCGCGGGAATGAAAGGAGGGACGCGAGGGGAGAGAGCGTAAGGGAGGAAGCGCAAAGTAAATTCTCGAATTTGGATCCCGTCTTTCCCCAGATTGCGGCATGGTCACTTGATGTTGGCCATCGAGATATATGAAGAGCTTATGCCGGGATGACATAGACGAGGAGAACTGGCGGTGGGGATCCGCTCCAACCCGGCATCTTATTTCGATCATGCATCTAAGATGACCTCGTCTTGTGCTGTCGTGTTTCCTTTATAGATATATATTTATATGAATATGTAAACAGCTTTTTTGTGTCTATGTGTAAATGCCAAGGTATGGTTGTATCCTGGTGGGAGAGAGCAGACATCAGGGGAAACAGGAACAAGGAAAGGCACAGACGGAGACGAGGGAGCGAGACGAGCACACCATGATTGCCGAAGCTGTACCCCAGGAAAAGTGGCAACTGCCACAAATTAAGGAAAAACCAAGAGAAGGCACTCACGAAGACGATATTGCGGGCAAGTCCCGAATGGTGAGCCAAGAAGGGTAAAACGATGGGAGCAGCTGTAAGCAGAGGGGTGCCCTATTTTTCTTCCTTCCCCTCAAATACGTTCTTCGTATGCCCTTATTCGATCTCTGCCCAACTCCACTAAGGTCGGCTCGGGATTGATTGATTGCATTTCAGAGGTTTTTGGGGCGAATAGAGTGTGTGGGTTCTGGACTTGTTGTGGCGGTGTTTTTTGTTTTGGCAGGCGGGAAATAGATGAAGAGCATGGGAGGAAGGGCGAGTGCTAATATATCTGGATATCTCCATCAAGGATGGGGTCTTAGTCGAGGTGTGATATAGCTTCGAGGCCCTCGACTCGCCTTTCCTTTCGTCGTGTCGTTCATGCTGTGTGTGTGTGGGTGGACTGGTCAACTTCTCGGGATCGGCAGCGATCCATGGCACATCCCATCCCTGGAACAATGCCGTCGGATCCCTATCGAATCCGGCCAAAAACTTAAAAGGAGAAGAAGAAGAAGAAGCTGTTCGTGCGCAAGCCACGCATCCAGATAAGAGGTGACAGCCTACCTCGACAATCTAGCCCAAGCAGCCAGTCACACGGGAAAGGCGGCAGATACATAACCCCCCTTCAATGCGAATAATATCACCGAAAAACAACTCTTTTAACTGCCGCTCCTCTTTTTAATTCAATATCTTCTAATCTAGAAACGCCCCGAATACCAAAGAGAGCTGCGTGGGGCACACACGTTCTCGGCCGGAAATTTCGGGGGACGCGACCGAAGTGGGTCGCCCGGGAATGGCGAAAGATGTGGTTGAGGGAATCTTGGCTTGAGTCTGGGGTTAATTGGAGATCCTTGGCTTGGCTTCTTGGCTCTTTGGTGAGAGTGCAGGAAAACCCATGACCATTCCGCTCGCGGCTGCCCTTGCCCTAGGCAGTTGCAATATTCGCAGTCGGGGAGGGCGTCACCCCAACCTTAATTTCTCGCCATCGCATAGAGTGTAGTATCGCATCTCATCCCATGACAGCGTCGATCTGCCCACCCGTTCCTCGGGCCTGATCTCCGCGACGTGCGTTCCCCCACCCGAATGAGTAGATCCGTCTCCTTGAGTGCATAGATGCATGGCTGTCGATGGTGAACGGCATTAAATGGTGGCGTCAACGGACAACTCTTACCTCCATCTAGTCACCGCTCACATCTGGAAAAGGAGACAATTGAAAAGCGAAAAATCGAAGTGACTCGAGGATTGTCAAGATACAAACTGAAGCCAAGCAGGAAAAGACATCAAACACTACAAAGCATCATCACCAAAACGTACACAAGATTATTTTTTGAAAACATTTATACTCTTCGATTCTCTATCTAGAAAAAAAAAGCCATCGGGTAAGACACCGAGGCAAAAGGGCGCCAAAAGTTGCGCGAGTAAAAGAACAAAAATGAATGTTGAGGATTTAAATCTCTCAACCCGAATCCATTCTTTTTTTCCATCATCCATTGTAAACTTTTGTGATTACCGCGCCCTCATAAACAAAGGAAAAGAACAAGTAAAAAAAACTCTCTCAACGCCAAGCATGTATCGTAAAGAAGACAAAAGAAAGAGAAAGTAGGTTAGACATTAGCCCTCATCACCGACAGATGAGGTTCGGAGGGGGAAGGGAAGGAAAACCCTCCAGATTAGCGGCCAAGTCAGACAGTGATTTACAAGTCATCCTCGTCGCTAAAGACCTCCTCACCACGCTTGCGGCGAGCCATGCGCTCCTTCTTCTTCTTCCTCGCCTCGTTGCTGCTCAACTTGGTCTTCTTCTTCGCCGCAGTAATCTTGTTACCCATGGCGTCGAACTTGTCCTCGCCATCATCCTCGTTGGCCTTGAGGCGGGGGCCGCTGCCCTGGCCCTGGACCCAGTTGTGGCCCGAAGGAGTCATCTTGCCGTCCATGACGGCCCAGACCTCCTCGGTCAAGTCCTTGGTGAACTCGGCAGAGTGAGTAATGATGATGACACCACCCTCGAACTTCTTGAGCGCCTTGGAGAGGGCACCGAGCGAGTCGCGGTCGAGGTAGTTAGTAGGCTCGTCGAGGACGATCAAGTGGGGTCGCTGCCACGAGCAGGCGGCGAGGACGACCTTGACACGCTGACCGCCGGAGAGACCACGCATGCGCGAGTGGGAGACGAGTTCGGCGTCGAGGCCAAAGTTGGCGCAGTGGGACTCGATCTCGCGACGGACGAGGGGACGGAACTGACCGGAGGCGAGGGCCTCCTTCATATCGACCTCGGCAACGAGCTTCTGGTGGGTGGCGAGGATCTCGCTACGGGGGATCCACTTGTTGTCGGCAGTCATCATGGGAGTCCATCGCTCGTTCTTCTGGCCGACGTTCTCACCCAGGCTGAAGGAGCACTCGTACTCGTAGCTGTTCTTGAACTTGCGACGAGAGTGGATGCCGATGACGCGGCGGTCCGTACCGTCGATCTTGTAGATCTTGTTCATGGCCTGCTCGTCGTCCTCGGTGATGACCTTGTTGGCGCGGTCCATGGTCTCGCGATCCTCACCAGTCTGGAATCGCCATTGGATGTACTCGGAGGGAGTCTTGTCCAAGTGGTTATCGATGTGCGCGAAAGCGTGCTGCTTGATGTAGGCAATACGCATGTTCTCGTGCTGGTAGATCTCACCCGAGGTGGGGATGAGCTCACCAGTGAGGACGTTGATGAGGGTGGACTTGCCGGCACCGTTGGGGCCAATGACGGCAATACGGGAACCGAGCGAGCACTGGAAGGTGATGTCCGTGAGCTGGGGCTTCACGGTACCGGGGTACTGGAAGCTCATCTTGGTGGCACGGAGAATGGCCTTGGCCTTGGTCTTGACACCCTCGAGGAAACCGGGCTCGGGGAAGCTGAACTCCATCTCCGAGGCGCCGAGCTCGTAGTAGGAGCGGGCCGAGGGGCACTTGCGGACGAACTCCTTGAGGTTACCCCTGTAGCGCTTGAGCTTGAAGCGCTCGTAGTGGATGATGTGCTGGGTGACGTTGTCGAGGAAACCAGTGTCGTGGGACACGATGATGGAGGTGCAGGGCGAGTTGATGAGGTAGTCCTCGAGCCACTTGACGTTCTTCACGTCCAAATGGTTAGTGGGCTCGTCGAGGAGGAGAATATCGGGAGCCTCGAAGACGGCACGGCACAGGGCGAGCTTCATCTTCCAACCACCAGAGAGGGCGGTGATCTCGCCCTGGATCATGGAGTCGGTGAAGCCGAACTCGACGAGCTGCTTGATGACGTCCTCCTGAGAGGTCTCGACACCGGCCTCCTGGAGCTTCTTCATGGTCCAGTCGATGGTGGTCATCTCAGTATCGGCAGAGTCCAAGTCGTGCTCGACGAAGACGGTCTTGACCTCGGACTGCTTGGGGAAGCCCTCGACCTGCTCGTTGTTGATGGCACGCATGAGAGTAGACTTGCCGGAGCCGTTGGGGCCGCAGAGACCATAGCGCTGGCCACGCTTGAGGCGGAGACCAGTCTGGTTGAGAAGAATCTTAGCACCATAGGCGAGAGAGAACGTGCAGTTGCAGAGGTCCTCGCCCTCCTCGTCATCCTCCTCCTCCTCGTCAGCATCAGCGGCACCGGGGGAGGCGCGCTTGCGGAGGGTCTCGACGACAGAGTCGGAGTCGGCATCGCCGACAACGACGGTGATGTAGGGCTTGATGTTCTCGGCCCACGAGGCGGCGTCGGTCTCCTTCTCGTCGATGAGCTGGCCGGCAATGGCTGAGGCGTACTCGAGGACGGGGGCGAGCTTCGCAGCAACGGCGGCGTGCTTGCCAGCAAGGATGTCCTTGAGCTTGCCGAGGACGACGGAGACGTCACCGTCGAGGCGGACCTCGGGGATCTTGCCGTCCTTGACACCACCAACACGGTTGAGGGTCTCGAGGGCCTGCTTGGTCTTCTCACGAGCCTCGGGGTCAGCGAGGGTATCGTAGTTCTTCTGGAGACCGGGCATCATCTTGGGCAAGAAAGGAGCGACAATGTTGGGGTCGTCGACGAGCTTGCACATGTTGTCAACAATGACGGCAGACTTTCGCTTGATGGCGGTCTCACGCTCAGCAAGACCACGGTCGAGAAGAGGGACCATGAGAGCGAGGGTGGGCTCCTGGACCTCGGTAACGAAAGTAGTGGCACCGAGCAAGTGAACGGTCTCTGGGACGTTCTCGGGCTTGGCGATACACTTGATGAGCTCGGGAATGAAGCGCTCAATATCCTTGTTGACGATGAGAGAGCAGAGCTTCTCCATAGTCTTGTAGGCACGGTCCTTGACGTCCTTCTTGGTGTCCCACATGGACTCGGAGACGACGGGGATCAAGTCGGGCACACGGTACGAGACCTGGGTGGGGGCGGACTTGATGAGAGCGTCGAGGAAGTCGAGGGCGAGCATCTTCTCCTGCCACTTCTGGGCGGAGGTGATGGACTTCATGACGGGGGGGAGAACCGACTTGACGGCATTGGGGTTGATGGCCTCGCTGATGGCGAGGGCAGCCGCGGTGGCCTCATTCTTGACGGCCGCGATCTTGTCAGCCGCGGCGGCGAAGACGGCGGGGAGAAGAGCGACGAGGAAAGGCTCGACGTGGGCGGAAACCTCGGCGTGCTTGGCAATAGCGTTGATGGCGACCAGAGCCTTTTCACGGGCGAGGGCGTCCTTCTTGCTAGCGAGCTGCTTCTGGAGGGCTTCGATGGTCCTGTGAAGTCAAAAAAAAAAGGCACGTGTTAATGATTTTGGTCACTCGAAAACGCAAGGCGATGCAGAAAAAAGTCCGCTTGAACCATATTGCTATATGCGGCAAAGCGTGAAAAAAAAAATATGAGGGGCAGAAAAAAGGTGCAGAAAATCAAAGGCCAAAAACAAAATGTGGGGGACAAATTTAGGCGGTCAAGTGTCGCTAGGTGGTGGCGGGTGTGGGGGTTTCGCCACCCCTCACACACGCTGGCCACACAATCACGGGCGTGCTGTGGTGACTTGGCTGGAAAAGCCCAGAAAAAATTTTCCTTGGGGTCTCGTCCCGCCAAGCCCGCAGCGCCAGAAATAGACGCCCTGCATGAAACAGGGGTGCCGAAAGCCAGTCCAGCCCGCACGCACGCACAGGGTGGCTCTGCAGATTTCGCCGCAATCGTAAACTAGACCACACCCGGACCCGCATCCCTGATAAGGAAATTGGCCCAAAACCTTGATATCAAGTAGATACCGTAGGCGTGTGGAGTAGGGCCAGCAAGGATGACGGAACTCCAAGCCCACAACCATGCAAGGGAAGGAAAAAAAAATAACATGGGGAAAATTCTGCGCCGGATAGAAACTTACTTGTTGGGGACATCCTTGTCCTCGATGCGGCCATTCATGAAGGACGCGAGAGCCGCAGAGGCCTCCTTGATGGCAGGAGCCTCCTTGGAGATGGTGAGTTGCTGCATGAGCTGGTCAAGGACCTTGAGGGATTGCGCGTTCTCGGAAGACATTTTGAAGGTGATGGTGATTAAATCGGAGGTGTTTTTTGTTTTTCGTTTTTTCGTTCTTGGGTATCGCAATTCTATCGTCTATGCCGAAATCCAAACGTTCTATTCCAGTCTATCGTCGCACTCGAGGGCGGTTCGAACAACGGAAAGGTCCACGAGGGACAGGACGGGGATCTATGAGTCTAGAAAAAGATGGGTGATCTTGTCCTGGAGAGGGACTCCGGGCAAGATCGTAATGGAAAATGACCGATGAACAAGACTGAGTGGAGAGTGTTCGTCTATGTGCTCTTGACAAGAGCTGGAATTCCCGGAGGAAAAGAAAAAAACAGGAAAAAGAAAAAAAGAAAACGAAGAGTTGGAAAGTGAAAAGAGGAAGAGGAGAAGAAGGGCTTGGGGATCGGTGGGAAGTAGGCTTTTATGGCTGGCCAGCTTTGCTCCAGTCCTGCCACCAACGTGCGCCAGGCGGATTATTTTCTTGGGACGGCTTTTTTTTTTTTTTTTTTTTTTTTTTTTTTCTTCTTGGTTGCCGCTTCCTTTTTCTCTCTTTGGTAGATGGAAAATAGGATTAGGCTGACAGGTACATTGTAGGTACCTCGCCAGCACCGTCAGCCCCACTGTACCTTTGCACGTATCAGATGCCAGGTATTGATACTTGATACCTTGACTAGAGCGGGCTTGGATCAAGTGGATCCCACATTTTTTTTTCTTTTCGCTTCAATCTTGCCCTGTGCTGCACGTTGCCCCTCACTACTGGCTGTAGGGACCTGGAGTCTTATCCCCTTATCCTGCCCCTTATCGCAGGTTATCAAGCGCGCTAGTCCGTATCAGGAAGGATTACTGGGGGCGGTGAGCGAAATTTTTCATGCATGCCACTCAGGAAGCTGCGAATTGGAAATCACAGGCTGGCAGAATTTATTTTTTTTCTTTTTCTTGTTCCTCGACCGCCCGTCCTCGTTGCTCAGTGGATACACTACAAGCCCACAAGCAAAGATGGTTTCCTAGCCCAGCTTCTTGAGCGACGGACTTCAAAAGCTGTTGATCCGGTAATTTTGATAAAAGTACCACTACGCTTTAATTTTCGGCGGAAACATCAATGTACCCCATGTGTATTCCCCTACACCCTGCGAGGGAAAGAGACTGGGGGCGCCAGGAGTGCATGTGGCAATACGAAAGCGGAGAGGAGCAATAATACACTACTTCGTAACTACTTGAACTCGCCAGGCAAAGCTCGGGGTTCTCTTCCTTGCCACTGATCAAACGCACAACATCGACAATTTACTGTATGGGAAACGAACCCAAGCTCGGCCCTTGCAACGCCGTGTCCTCCCGTGTGCTAGCTCCCTCCCCAACGAGTCTAGGCTTCCAAGCTTCGCGCCCAATGTGGGGAGAAAAAAAATTTTCACGTTTCTTCTCATCGATGTCCGATGTCCGATGTAGTTTCCGTAGTGATGTTGAACTTTCCGTTGATGCTCCGAGCGCGAGAGAGGGGTGAGAAGGGAGAGGCATCCAGCGTTGAAAGAATATTTCCCTTCCCCAGCCGGTACGTGCGAAGTATACCGACCCTGGATAGACAAACAAGGCACACCGGCGATTAGGGCTTTTTCGATCCCTCGCCTTCATGAGTTGCCTCGTCTCGCAGATGTTAATGCAGACCTGACTGGTTCATCATCTGCAGACTGCACAATGCAGTAAACAAGCCAGCATACCGCTTACCCGTCGCGTTTCACAAAACATCAATGTGAAGCTTTCGTCAGCTAGCTCTTCGCTGGATGCTATTCTCAGCCACATTCGCGGCCCATTGGGATCCTTTCATCTCAACACTTATCATCAAGATCGTGGCCCTTTCGCACCCCGGTCGGCAGTAGCGATAAGCCCTACCTCTGGACGGACGGGATCCACACAAAATTTGCAACTTGATAATTTCCAACGTCCAACCCACTTACCCCTCCAAATTCCCCAAAATATTGTTGATGCATTCCTAAAATTCCTCCGGTTACCCCAGCCCCGAAGTCTGTGTTGTGAAGTGTACTTGCGACGTACTACACCGTATCCATCAAAAGGCCCTGGTCTTGCATTTGTTGATCCTCTCTCACCCCTGCCCAACACCCTGCCCAGCGAAGTTGGTGATGGGAAACTGTAGTGGAGTTGTCTTGTCAATGTGCAACCGAGACGGACCTAAAGTGACACGGCCCGTTGTCCAACAAGGAAGAAAGGAAGGTCTAAAAGCCATGTGTCGAGTTACTTAGGTGAATCCTGGCTGCAAAAAAAGCCCTGGTACACGAATGAGCTTGAACTCGTCAAATCGTGACTCGGAGCGCAGCATCTGTGAGCTCAGGTATTGGTGGTTACAGCCAGCCACTCATGAATATTGGATTACTGTTACAGACGAGAGCGGAAAAAGGGATGAGGAAAAAAAACTTGAACTCGTTTTGATTGTCCCGTCCTCGGTACCTTACCATCTGGAACAGGCTGCGGTACGAAGCTGGTATACACAAAACGCCCTGATACATGGCGGCAGATTAAAGGTGTTGGAGAAAAACATTGAACACTATATTCAGCATCAATGCAAACCGTCTGTCCTCATTCGGGCAGGCCAGCGAATCGATATGAGATCCAACGACTCAGATCTGATACAGGAACCAACACATCAATTGATCCTTTCGTTGACCATTGGGTGAAGTACTTCGTACATACATGTCCTCAATGCCTGCCCGGTAAAACAGCTACTGTAACCTTCACTGTACTTGTACCCGAGCTTCCTGAGAAGGGTGACTGTAATTTTAGGTACCTTTTACAAAAACCAAACTCTCAGACAGGAAGTTGTTTTCTCTCCTGGGTACGAAGGTACCAAGCAAGGGAATATTCGCAGAACCCTATTGATCGGCTTTCCCGGCCTGGGCATGTTCTGGCATGTCCTGGCATGTGGTTGGCAGGAACCGAGATGCACCGTGAATCCACTTTACCGGGCTTCCAAGTCTGAACCATTGAACCATCAGCAATTTGACGGACAAAAGTATCAAAGTTGGGTACCGATACATATTCGGCGTGTACATGGTCCAGCCGCGTCGGATAATGTAACTTTTGGGTAACCACCCCCGAGCCTCAAATTCCAGGGCCCAGACTCTTTAAACTTTTTTTTTTCCCTTGAGGCGGAGGATTTTCTTCCTTTTCCCTGCGCATTTTCGGTGTTGGAAATTCGTTCCCCTGTTCTAGGTTAAACACAAAAATTTAGGGGCGCTCCACTGGCGTTGCCACCGACCCTCTCGCCAGGCGAAGGGGGAACCATTTTATTCGCCTTCTCGTACTAGTGCGGTCGGGATTTCCTCTGTGTTGCTGTTGCCTCTTGTTGAAACCTGTGCTGTGTCCTCTGGCAACTGCGGATGGTATTTTGATGTTTGTTCTCCACCGGCCTAGTTTGAGGGGGATCGCCGAAGTAGGAGTTCGTTGAGAGCTGCTCACATCTTAGCTTGCAGCTGTGAGGTAGTAGTGTAGTGCAGCAAATCTACGGAGGAGTGGGTAAGATATCAATCTGCTTCGTTTGTTTGGTCAAAAAGTGCATACACCGCCTTGCTCAGGGAGACCTTAATCCCACCCCCGTCGAAGATCATCTTCGCGTCATCCTCAGCCACCACTGCTCAGGCTGTGTGGTAGAAAGGGGGGACCGAGAGAAAAAAAAAACCTGCCTGCCGCTAGCACAACATTCCGTCTGTTCGCTTGATATCCAATCCGAGATACATCTGATCTGATGCCTTGTTGTCTTATCTTTCCCCTTTTGGCTCGCCGTGTCTGATGTGTAGGGTAGGGGCATGTACGAGAAGAGGCTTGACACCATCTTTCTTGCTTTTATTTCTCTTTGATCAAGGCACGGCGACGACTTGTCCAAATAGGTTGTGTTGTAACACCACATACGCCTCTTCCCTTTTCCGCCTGGCACTTTGCAGACAACTGCAGCAGAGCGGCCCTTCAACAAGTCGACTAGCTGAGGCGGTTCCGGACCGAGGCGCACCTGTTACCCTCACATGTCTTGCACTTGTGTGTCTTTATGATACATAAGTTATCAGCGTTGTAAGCTTATGATAAACCACCTCCCCTCGAACAAGGAAGGAACCATCATCCCCTCCCGCTCCTTCCCGGCTCCCACCCTCGACAAAATCCCATCAAAGATCTCGTTTATACTATATAAGGGGGGATACGGTGACAAACGACCAGCCGAGCAGCTCAAGCACTTGCCAATGCGATGTGGTCTAGCCAACCCAAGCGCTCACAAAGCTAGAAAACCGCCCCGGACTGTTTTCGTAGGATGTGCGTGTTCGACACAAGCTACCCTCGCTTTTTGCCATTTTTTCCACCCTCCTTTTTCTATTTTAATCCCCATCCGACCCTTCTCCCATGTGAATCAACATTATAAAATTTAATGGGATTTAATAGAAATATCCTCGGTCGTAGTAGAGAGCACCTTGCCAGAACAACGCTTCGAAACCCGTGCAATATCAATGATGTAGTCTGAACAGAGAGAAACGTCCATGTACATCTCCACATCTCCATTCAACGCCCGTTCCCAAACCACGCCGGGATCAAGAAGCACCCCCGCCTCCTACGCGACGCTAGTACGTCCAAGCATTTCCACGCGGGGTCTCCGGGGAACGGTCCCATTCTTCCGATATCGATATCGATGGGGGGGGGGGCGACCGCTCAGCCGGGAAAGGCCCTGGTCCGCTCGGGGGGTTCATCTGCGCCCTAAGGAAGCAAGTACCTCCCGAGGGCCCAAGTCCAAAGAGGTACCTGGGGATGGACATTTGAGAAAAATTTGTGCCCTTTTCTCCCCCGTTTGTGGGGAACCCGGTCGTTCTGCTCGGATCTTCCAGAAGAGGTGGAGCCCAGTCGCCATGGAACGTGTGTCTCTCCCGTGTACTTGATTCGTTCTTTGGGTGGAAGGCGGAGAGACGAGGCCGGCAGCGGCATGGCTTACCTTTGTCTAGTTCGAATTCGATCCCGATATCCCC